ACAGGACGTTGCAGAACCAGCCCCAGCATTTCTGGGCTGTTGTGGTTTTTCTAATTTATGTCCATTAGTTTGCCACTTTTTGGGGACGGTCGGCTTCTCTATACCACGGTCGAAACCAATGCAAGGCACAAGGCCGGCAGCTGGGATCAAATCCAGCACCCTGGCATTATGAAGCATGTTCACAATGCCTAAGCCAAAGAGGCCGACTTAGTAACAATGGTAGTGTTTATGTTCTAATGTCTCTCGTATTGAATCTGAAATCTTCCCAGTGGAGATCCAATATACAAATAAGACAACAGACCTAGCAAAATAATGTATGTAATTTAATATCCAAATTAAGAAAGTGCCACTTGTACTACACTGGCCATGCACAAGACTTCCTTATCAAGCCCTCATATGGACACCGGAAGGGAAGGAAAGGCCAAGAGAGACAATGAAAAGAAACATCATCATTGGAGGGAAGGCTCAACCATGGGCACAATAAACATCCAAGACCTAAAACAGGTGGCAAGGAACCTCCAGACATGGACAGCTATGACCTCTGCCCTGTGCGCCGCCCGGGGCTCAAGAAGAAAGATTAACTAACTAATGTCCTTCATGCAGCAGCGCCAGCTAAGCATCTAAATACCAAATATCAAGTGACTGGATAGCTCAACTGAAGAAATGGAACAGGAGCACACAAATACAACTGAACGTATCGACCAAAGTCTTTATCAACCAAGCTGTGCCTGAGGAATACAAAGGACAAGACAATACAGCTACTCAACAACCAAGGTCAATAGGAAACCACAAAAATACATAATTTAAAGCAACCACTGGCAAGTGAATCAAATGCCTGACAGAGCAGCTGGCCACATCATCTAAAAATACCTTCGTTATAGATAATGATGAAGAAGAAGACGCAGCAGCAGATGAAGAAGAAGAAGAAGAAGAAGAAGAAGAAGAAGAAGAAGAAGAAGAAGAAGAGAAGTAGAAGAAGAAGAAGAGAAAGAAGAAGAAGAAGACGCAGCAGCAGATGAAGAAGAAGAAGAAGAAGAAGAAGAAGAAGAAGAAGAAGAAGAAGAAGAAGAAGAAGAAGAAGAAGAAAAGGAAGAAGAGGAAGAAGAAGAAAAAGAAAAAGGAGGAGCATATCCTCATTGATTCATGACTTTCAAAACATTTTGTACAATTGGAAGTAACACAAACTGCCTTGGCAAACCAAACAATATGTAAAGCCAATAATGTCAGCAGGAAAACGTATGTCCCCACAGTAAGCTGCACACGTACAAACATACTTTACTGTCTTATACAGTTGTATAGTCTTTTTCATGTTAAAACATAAGTATAAGTACATTTACTAAGATAGGTTACATCTGCAAAATACCTACACGTATATACAGCACTACATATGGTTATATCGCCATAAAACACGCAAAAGTAAAAAACAGGTAATCTAATACATACAGTAAAAATTAATTTATATACAGATGTTACTACTGTATGTTGCTGATAAAATTATCCACATATGAATTGTCAAACATACACAGATTATAAAAATAACATATTTTACATGTTTTGTCAAGTGTCTGATCCCACTGTAAGACACACAAATGCATTCCAATCTGCACATGTTCCTACACACCCCACCTCCTCCCCCTTGGATTGTCCAAGCGCTTTGCCAGGAAGGGGGTTTTGACCAAGAAAATGATTGTAAGATTCACTGCCAGAGAAAACCAAACAGTATGTACTAGTGTAACGTACTATCGTACTGGCTACAAGCTGCGTACAGGAAACATGCGTACAAACAACCCAAGCTTACATCTGTTTACACGATCACCGGCATGCTAATATTCAAACAAGAAATTAATCTACTAAACTGTGGCTATCAAGCTTAACGAGGGGGAGGCAACCGCCATGGTGTAGCAGGCAAACACTCGCCTGCGGACCTGAAAGTCATAGGATCTGAATCCTCACGGAGCCGGACATTTTAAAATAAATTGTTCAACAATGTCTTTGGCTCCCAGGTAAACTCGTCTTAAATGATTACCAGGTACAGTCCTGGGAAGTAAAAGTGGCAGGTCTGATACTGACTGACCACAACACCCACTGAGTGCCAACTGGTCTTCTATAAAATATAGGTTGTATGTTGAAATAAGGATGGACACCACAGACCTCGGGACACTCATTCCCATCTTCAGCAGCAAGCAAAGAGTTAAAATTCTGATGGCACCAGTAACTGTCTGATTGTATATCCGTCCCGCCTTTCCTTGAGTGTCGAGCGTCAGCCAGATTCCCTTGTAACTCCTCGAAGTACCATTCTCCTCAGACCGTAATGTTTTATCTGTGCCTCGACACTGTTCACTCACTCCCAAAGGTCCCTCACAACATCTAGCGTGTCATACATCAGTTCACCACCTAGTGGTGCAGAACCGGCCAGTCTATCTGCCTGCTCATTTTCCAACACACCGGCATGCCCTGGAGAAAGGATATCCAAAGGATACTAACTATCCGGGACCTTTGAAGTAATGCTTGCCACTCTGCACGGAGCATGCCTGTCTCCACCTTCCTCAACATGCTCTGTGAGTCAGTTACAATGACGACATGTGTGTACAGCTGATTCTCAAGTCAGGGAAAGGCAGCAGTGACTATCTCCACCTCCATTCTCAAACTAGGCATTGTGATGTATATATGATATATAGATATATATATAGATTGTAAAATATAGGTTTGCTATAGATAGAAAACCCCCAAGACTGGAGAGAATGAGGCACCTGATTGTAACTAGAGGATCTAGCCGGCTCACTACACACAGAGGAAAGGCAAGACGGACATATAACCAGATTTTGACCGGTAATATCAGTACTGGAACTCTGCACTGGCTGCTGAAAATGAGGACGGAGCATACATGGTAATGCCCTGAGTGCTGTGATGTCAATTCTTGACTCACCTCAACTCAACCCCCAGTTAGTTGCCTCTCCATAATCTGCGATCTCCTGCAGCATGTATCAGTTCGTGTGCCGACACACCTCCATGCTATGCAACAAGACTGTCAAGAATCTTCTCTCGTTGTCTTCCTCTATCCCTCCTTCCACAGATCTTTCCAGTGGTCACAACATGTTCTATTTTTCCTCTTCTCATAACATGGCAAAAAAATGATGACTGTCTCCTTCTGATGTCTGTGATAAGTTGTCTTCGGGCTTCTGCCTTTTTCAAAACCTTTTGGTTGCTCTTTTTTGGCTGTCCAAGGTATTCTAAGCATTCTTCTGTAAAACCACATCTCTGAGGCCTCTAAAAATTGTTTGGCCTGCCTACCGATTGTCCAGGATTCACAGCCATATGTTAAAACTGGATGTATGTAGCAAGCAAGAATTAGTTTTCTAACTCTCAATGACAAGATATTCTTCATTTTATAAAATGTAGCCTTTGCCTGTCATATTCTGTTTCTTATCTCAGTTATGCATCTTCCATTTGATATCATCCATGTGCCTAGATACTTAAATTTCTGTACTTGTCCCAAAATAACACCGACTTTTATTACACATTTAGGAATAATTTGTTTCTTTGATACCACCATTACTTCTGTCTTCCCATTATTCAAACTGAGGCCCATTCTTCCACTTCCTAACACCACAATGTCTATCATTTCCTGTAGTTCTTTCTGACTTGTTGCTATCAAGACTGTGTCATCAGTATAGCGTAAATTGTTTATATTGTGTCCACCAACCACAATTCCAGGCATATCAATTAAAGATCTTATTATATATTCACTGTATATTGAAAACAAATCAGGTGACAGAAACCACAACAGCCAAAAACTGCTGGGGTTGGTTCTATAACTTCCTGTGAAGGATACGCAGCTAACTTTTCCTTTAAAACTACTGCATCAGTAAACTTTTAAAAGATAAACAGTCAAAATAGCTAACTGTAAATCTGAAGTATATACTTTCTTCCTCTTCTTTGCATTCACTGGTTGTAAACTCTGGCAGAAAGTTCTGGTTGTTCGTCCCTTTCTAGACTTTAATCCTGATGTAGAACTTGAATTTTGTGTGCATTTCTGTTTTACAGATCTGGCTTATTTGTACAAAGATTTCTGGTTCCTCACCTCTCTTGCAGATGCACTTTGACCCTCTCTGGCAGATATACTCTAACCCTCTCTCTGGCAGATGCACTCTAACCCTCTCTCTGGCAGATGCACTCTAACCCTCTCTGGCAGATGCACTCTGACTCTCTCTGGCAGATGTACTCTGACCCTCTCTGGCAGATGTACTCTGACCCTCTCTGGCAGATGCACTCTGACCCTCTCTGGCAGATGCACTCTGACTCTCTCTGGCAGATGCACTCTGACCCTCTCTGGCAGATGCACTCTGACCCTCTCTGGCAGATGTACTCTGACCCTCTCTGGCAGATGCACTCTAACCCTCTCTGGCAGATGCACTCTAACCCTCTCTGGTAGATGCCCTCTGACTCTGAATGAATCACTTCTAATTAGTAGGCTTTTACGACATATTTGTTTCGCCCACAATAGAATCCTGGAACCCACCCCCACCGCAAACTATATACCAAACTGATAAAAAAGCCAAAATATTCAGCACACTGATGCCGAATCACATGGGAAAAATCGCATGTCTTACTTGTTAACCGTCAACAGTCAGGGGGAAAAAATGGCATGTCTTACTTGTTAACCGTCAACAGTCAGGGAAAAAAAATTGGATTCAAATGGAAACAGAAAACAAGTACATCACAAACTGCTGCCAGGCAGACACTGATAAAATGCAACATATTTTAGAAATAAGGCAAAACAAAAGAAAGAACAGAACATAATCTCACCATTTACTAGCTAAGATAGAGCAAGCGATCGAGTGACACGAGTATAAAGAAACCAAGTTGGAGAAGTGACGATATGCAAATCTAGCAAACCAAGACGTGACTTTGCATACATAAATATTGTATACGTGAGTGAAACTGACAGCAGAAGGAGGCAGAGCAACAAGCACACAAAATGTCTCACGTTTGCACGTATTTTAGAACAAGCCGTATTCTATGAGAACCTCTTGAAGAGCGTCATCCTTCAGAAAATCAATGACAAAATACACAAACATTCATGAGGCTGCGTATTTTCTCTGTATTCTGTTAAAAATGGTGTTGTGTGTAGTGATTTCAACAGCTTTGTAAAGCCAGAATTGAAGGAATTATTGCAAGTTCTTGATGACGACGAATCCGCTAGTACATTTGCACGCTGGCCCATTGGTTTTATATTCAAACCTCTACTGACATATTTCTTTATTTAGTCTATATCCGACTGACGGAGCCAGACTTGGAAAAAAAAATGACTTTGGTTTTTAGGTTGACCTAGCCTTAAATGGGTACCAGGTAGAAAGCCCTTGGAAGTAAAGGTGGCTGGCGGGATGTTGACCATACCACCCATCGAGGGCCGATTGGTCTATAGAATATAGGTCTAGCCCTATATGCCCTTGCGGCCCAAAGGCATGGCAAAGTGTCCCTTACTTAATTCAAAAACCTAATTATAACATCTTCTGAGGCTGAACGGGGTTATCTGGGATATACCTTGTTGGTCTGACATCCAGAGTTGAAATTTTTTGTTTATTTCAAGGTGGGATAAACATTACGGCATTAGCTCAGAGGGGACAAAATAATCAGTTTATCCATCTTTATTTACCTGGGTTCCAAGGTCGACCCAGCCTAATATAAGCACCAGGAAATGTTACAAGAAGCAAAGGCGGCCAACAGGACCACATCATCCATTGAACTCTATAACAACTGGACAAGTGCCATATACCCAATAATCCTAAAGGCAAGGGGAAAGTCTCCTCCAGTTTTTGAGTGCATTGGTCTTATGTCCCAAATGGGTCCTAATCAGACGAACAAACTACTGGAGAGAAGTGAGAGTATGTCTTCTTCTTCTTCTTCCCTTCCTCTTTTACCGATCTGGGCATCAAGGGAGTTATAAGGTTGTGTTTCTTGCTCTTCTGGCAACCTCAGGCATCGTGCGGTTGTCGAGTTTCCCTGATGTTATCTTTCAATAGTCTTCTGGGTCTACCTCATGGCTACGTCCTTTTCCTATTTTGGTGTGTACACCACAAGGCATTTCTTTCTAAGCAGGCAAACCATTTGATCTACTGTGTATCTGCATGAAGTGTAGAATTGGCATGTGTATAACCAGTAGATGAGGAAGGACAATGTGGATCTGCATGAAGTGTAGAATTGGCATGTGTATAACCAGTAGATGAGGAAGGACAATGTGGATCTGCATGAAGTGTAGAATTGGCATGTGTATAACCAGTAGATGAGGAAGGACAATGTGGATCTGCATGAAGTGTAGAATTGGCATGTGTATAACCAGTAGATGAGGAAGGACAATGTGGATCTGCATGAAGTGTAGAATTGGCATGTGTATAACCAGTAGATGAGGAAGGACAATGTGGATCTGCATGAAGTGTAGAATTGGCATGTGTATAACCAGTAGATGAGGAAGGACAATGTGGATCTGCATGAAGTGTAGAATTGGCATGTGTATAACCAGTAGATGAGGAAGGACAATGTGGATCTGCATGAAGTGTAGAATTGGCATGTGTATAACCAGTAGATGAGGAAGGACAATGTGGATCTCCATGTAGTGTAGAACTGGAATGTGTAAAACCAGTAGATGAGGAAGGACAATGTGGATGCAGCTGATGTCCATGGCTAAGCTGGTATGTCAGTACATGTAAGTAAATTAAATTAACTGACAGACAGTTTGTATGTTTCTCATGTAGCACTGGTAGCAAATGTCACTTTACAAGCAGTTATTACTTTGGCAATTTACACAAATGTCATTTTACACAGACATAATTTTATACAGATATCATTTTACCAAAATGTAGTTTCATTAAGATATCAAACATTCAAATGTGCAGCATTTTTCATATTATGTACTGATTGCTGAAGTTGACTGATGTAATTAACACTGTGAAAGGTTTTGTTGAAGTTAACAATGCTGGGGATTCAATGATTGTTGAAGTTAATGTCAAATGTTAATGACTGTTGTAGTTGAAATCATCACAAACTGAATTATTGCTGACATTAACAATGAGATTCAATGCTTGTTGAAGTTAATGTCAAATGTTAATGACTGTTGTAGTTGAAATCATCACAAACTGAATTATTGCTGACATTAACAATGAGATTCAATGCTTGTTGAAGTTAATGTCAAATGTTAATGACTGTTGTAGTTGAAATCATCACAAACTGAATTATTGCTGACATTAACAATGAGATTCAATGCTTGTTGAAGTTAATGTCAAAGTCTGAATAATTAATAATATGAGAGATTCAATGGTTGCTGAAGTTAATGTTAGTAATCCATGTATGTGTGTTAAACAATTAGGTGCAAATAAAGCCAGCAGCTTTAAATCCAAAAGGTTAGAAGAAAACTGTAATATCCAACATAAATACAAATCATCATAAAACAAATCATTACAATTTTTTATCAACAGAATGAATTTCTGAAAGTAAAGCAAGAGAGAGAGAGAGACAAAAATATAACCCAGACGTGAGCTGTGATACTGGACCTTCTCAATCAGATACGTGGCCCCAGTGCTTGAATAGAAAATACATTCGGAAGTCTTTTTTTTTTATTTCCAGAAACCATGAGTTAACCCTTTGGCTCAGTACTATGGATATCGCAACCCTTCGGCCTTGATACTCCGTAAATCTGGGAGAAATGTGGCTTTTCTGTCTACCCTCGGGCATGAACCCGGACCACAAGGAGTTCCTCACCTGGTCGCCGTGCAGTTAGGTTTAACCAACTGAGCTAGCGAGCCGGCATTGGGAGGTCAAAATATATCTACAAACTTTATAGTTTCCCCCACTTGGTGGTGTTGTTAGCAACCAGCCACGGAAACAAACTGCATTTATATATAATACTTTCCTATGTAGTTTCAGTTTCATTCATTTTTCTTAATGATATTTTAGAAGTGGCTTCACTAGATGTTCATTTTTCATGACAATACTTTAGAAAGTGGCTTCACTAAATGTTCACTTTCCATAAAAATATTTTAGAAAGTGGCTTCACTAAATTTTCATGACAATACTTTAGAAAGTGGCTTCACTAAATTTTCATGACAATACTTTAGAAAGTGGCTTCACTAAATTTTCATGACAATACTTTAGAAAGTGGCTTCACTAAATTTTCATGACAATACTTTAGAAAGTGGCTTCACTAAATTTTCATGACAATACTTCAGAAAGTGGCTTCACTAAATGTTTACTTTTCATGACAATACTTTAGAAAGTGGCTTCACTAAATGTTTACTTTTCATGACAATACTTTAGAAAGTGGCTTCACTAAATGTTTACTTTTTCTATTTGATTTACTTTTTGTCATACAGCAGAGGGGCTTCAATGTTACAATAGCTTCTTCTGACCAGTGCAAACATGGTTTGGTTTAAACTCTGGATGAAGTTAATTTAAACAAATTTAACAATTTAGTTGAGTTGAGTCAAGAATTGACATCATAGCATTCCCATGAGTGCTCCCCCCTCATCTTCAGCAGCCAATGCAGAGTTCCAATACTGATGGTACCTGTCACAATCTGGTTATATGTCCGCCTTGCCTTTCCTCTGAGTGTAATGAGCAGGCCAGAACCAGGTGCCTCATTCTCCCTAGGCCATTACAATCTTTTTTTTTTTTTACAGATTCCGTTGCTTGTTTCCAAAGGGCCTTGACCACATCTGCCTTGCCATGTATCAATTCACCACCCCAGTGATGCAGATCCAACCAATCTGCCTGCCTGTTTATCTCAACAATGTAAATTTGTATAAATTCCCACATTCACTTGTCCTGATGAGCCATGGACCATGCTGCTATTCTGAATGCTCTACGAGAAGTAGTCGGCTCTGTGGCTAAGTCGATGCAAACGCTTCGTAATGCCGGGATGTCGGGTTCGATCCCAGCTGCAGCCCATGCGCCTTGCATTGGTTTCGACAGTGGTATCAAGAAAGCCCACCGTCCAGAAAGCAATGGCAAACTACTGGACATAAATTTGCCTAGAAAAACCACACAACAGCCAGGGGCTGTTGGGGGTTGGTTTTGCAACATCCTGTAAAGGATACGCAACTAACCTACGAGAAGTAAGCCGTTTGCAAGAACCAAGTGATGACTGTGAATCTGCAACCATGACCAGACTGTTTTATAAGAGGGGTGTAGCCAGACAAGAGCACTATGCAGGAAGCCAAAGAAGAATAAGAAACCAACACAGAACTGGTGTGGTGAGCCGCTACATACTGCAGGATATACTGAGGAGGGGATCCAAGCACTTATGGGCTGAATGGTTCTATGTATAGTGAGGATAATCTGTCGACTAACTAACTTATCTTTCAAACTCCTAGTAAGTAACCAGTACACATCTACCTAGTGAATGCCACTAATTAGATTTAACTTTTTTTTTTTCTTTCACTTCTCTGTAAAAGCGATACCTTCATAATTTCTGTTGTTTATACAATTCAGAGCGGTCCAGGTAACTACTACATACTTTATACAATTATTCGGTTATTATTATTATTATCACATTTTATTTTTTTTTATTTGTTTACATAATATGTGAATACCATAATATAGTCATTTCAGCCAATTTATTTTTGACTGTGTTTTGTATCTGGCCATTGTTCTACTGATAAAGGCTAGTCTACTTGCCCTCTGTTTACTGTAAGTGGTTTTGTTCAGCTGACAAATACTTCATGTTTTTGAGATCATTTTTCTATCTTTTCTCTTCTCTATCTTTTGCACTCTTAAAAGATCTTTTTTTTAGATCCCCAGAATGGCCAAGCTTCCTCCTGTATTTTCTACTCCAGCTCCCAGATGGCCAAGCTACCTGTATTTTCTACTCCAGCTCCCAGATGGCCAACAACGAATACAGAATGCCTGTGTCTGGGAACATGCAGTGACTCACCTCCTGGAGCAAGTCCTGGGCAGCTATTGCCTTCAGCACATTCTTCTTGCTGGTCTCCTGAACCTCTCCGCCCAGAAGGAACTCATCCAGCATGAAGTAAGCCTTCTCAAAGTTGAAGATGATGTCTAGCTCACACACCTGAAGGAGACAAGGTCAAAGGTAAAGAGTTCAATGAATGAACGAATGAATGGATCAAAAACTGACATCACTGTACTCATCACATTCCCACATGTGCTTCATCCTCCTAAACACAACACAGTTCTAACATTCCAGGTGTCATTCTGGAGCATTTCCAAAGAGAAAGGAGGCAGCAATCCACACTTAATCCTGCATTCTTCATATAATATTACAACTTTAGTTACATTTTAAAATAGGAGCTTTTAAGCTGTGTTGTGTGCAATATATGGGTATATGAAAGGGAAGTTCATTATTGAACGTAAACACTTGGTGCGGTGCAGGACACATTGAACGCAATGTGAAGAGAGAGAAAAACGGTTGGCTCCAAGTCCCCGGAGAGGAAGGATGCGGTGATGTAGGTTCTAGTCTGGGTGTTGCCAGACTAGTCCTGCACACCCGCATGTTACGCTGGCGTTAGGCATACAGGCTATCGGCGAGAGATGCCGCAGAGGCCGGGCCAGCGTGACAGAAGCTTGTGTGGTGAGATGGGAGATCTCAAGTACGTGTCAGGCCGCAGACGGAAGGTCTGGATAATCTTCACAAGGTATTGTGCATCGGCCTGTATGATCTTTCTAGTGACAGTGTACCCAAGGGATGGGTGTCATAGAGACAGACACGTACTCACGAGCAGTGGGTTTGCACGAGCAGGTAATGTTTGCTCGTTGTTAACCACGGAACAGGGTGGCAGTAAAAGTAGCCCAGAGCGTCCGGAGTGTGTGTTGCCTTGCCAGTAGGAATGACTGTGGCAGTACAGAAATTCATGTGGATTCATTGTCTTGGTTTTGAAATACATTAATTATATTTTGACGTTCAACATGTATCCAGCGTCCTTTATTGCTGTTGGGCGGGAGTGGTGACTTTGATTTGTAACACTATTAAGCATACCTGGATACTTGGCAAGTGTGCGGTGCATCAAGCGAGCATTTCGCGAGCGTCAAGCTGTAATCAGATAGAAAGATTCTCAGAATAATATAGTCAAAGAAGAGAAGCAATAGTGACATTTTAAAAGATCTGAACATCAAGGAAGATTGGCTAATAAACAGCATCTTGTCTCGCAAGCTGAAATATTTTGGTCATATCAAGCGCCACAACGGATTGGAAAAAATAATAGCAGAAAGCATGGTACCAGGAAGGAGGGGCAGGGGCCGACCAACAAGAAGATGGGCACAGGATATAAGTGACTCCTTGAATAAGTACATGAAGCAGGAGAGCTGGCGAGAGACTGAGTTTGTTTCAGGCAGACTGAGATGAGATCGACATTTGCAACGGAACTACTACATGACATTGTTACACTCATACAAACAATGCCCTAATTAACACAACAATGCCCTAATTAACACACTGACAAGAGGATTCATAAGATTTGAAAAAGTTGAGTCTTTGATAAGAAGTTTCAACAAAAGAAATCAAAGACTCACACTGCCGAAGTATTTGTCCAACAGCTCCACGTAGCGATGGATGACCTCAAGGGTCAGCAACTCGTTGTCATCATTCTCAACAGCACAGCAGAAGTACAAACTGGCATACCTGTGTTCAAGACATACAAAATCTCTGATTATTTTCTCTCTTGATAAAAACATGAGAGAGCTGCATTTACTGACTGATTTTACCACTTTCTAGGACACCGTCTTTAACATAAAGATTTACAACAAGCTAGGAAACTGTCTTGAGCCTGAGGATTTAGGACATGCTTGGACACTGTCTTTAACCTAAAGATTTACGACAAGCTAGGAAACTGTCTTGAGCCTGAGGATTTAGGACATGCTTGGACACTGTCTTTAACCTAAAGATTTACGACAAGCTAGGAAACTGACTTGAGCCTGAGGATTTAGGACATGCTTGGACACTGTCTTTAACATAAAGATTTAGGACATGCTAGGACACTGTCTTTAACCTAAAGATTTAGGACATACTAAGACACTGTCTTTAACATAAAGATTTAGGACATGCTAAGACACTGTCTTTAACCTAAAGATTTACGACAAGCTAGGATACTGTCTTCAGCCTGAGGATTTAGGACATGCTTGGACACTGTCTTTAACATAAAGATTTAGGACATGCTAAGACACTGTCTTTAACCTAAAGATTTACGACAAGCTAGGACACTGTCTTGAGCCTAAAGATTTAGGCTTTCTGTCAGCTTACATAACTACTACTTTTTTGTTATTATGACGGGGTTTCCGTCACGACCAGGTCAGGCGCACAGTCTGTCACAGAAGTCACGGCCGTTTTGAAACTTGCAACTCTACTCACACATTTGCTGGCCTGACAGACATACACCACCCATACTGGATCTTTATTAGCTAAGGCATTTCTATAAGTTTCATCCCTTCACTGATTAAAAAGAAATAGATTAATAAAACCAACAGCAGTACACTGCTTCTCTTTGGTGCATGATGTCATCAAGTTTACCTGCTAAAGGAATTTTGTGCTTAACATTCTTGACATCCCTAACAAAACAATACTGACAGGTTACAAGACAATGCCAAGGCTAACACAATTTTTATCACACTTTTAAGGTTTCTTTTTTAATGCCCCCAAATACATCAGCAGAGTTTTCTGGAATTGTCTTTTCTCCACGGCAGTTGTGCAATGAAGCATAATACAGGAAGCCGCTGCTGAGTTCAAGCCCATGACCTGGTTTTCAATTGGCCGAGGTATTAGAGCAAATCTTCACGGTGGGATCGAACCCACGGCTGGGTCCCTAGTCAGGCTAACACACAAGAAGTGACATGCCTCTCTACAGATGTCAGCTTCTTTCTTCTTCTTCTTTTTCTCCACTTTGTCTTTTACCGCTTTGGGCTGAGTTGAGTTGAGTTAAGAATTAACACCACAGCACTCAAGGCATCCTATGTGTGCTCCATCCTCATCTTCAGCAGCTAGTATAGAGTTCCAACACTAATGGTACAGGTCACAATCTTTCTTTACTGATTCCGTTGCTTGTTCCAAAAGTGCTCTGACCACATCTGCCTTGTCATATATCAATTCACCACCCAGTGGTACAGATCCAGCCAATCTGTCTGCCTGTTCATTACCCACCACGCTGGCATTGCCTGGAGAAAATATCCAAAGTATGCTCACTACCCGTGATCTTCCCAGTAAAGACAAAGAAAAAGAAGAACAGAAGAAGACGAAAAAGAATCTCTAGGATTCGTTTTCTAACGGGCACAGCCAAACAAGTAACAAATAATTTTCACATTTTTCATAAATTTTTTTTAATGAAATTCACAATTTGAGTTTTTAAATATTATTCTGAAATTTTACGTGGAAAGTAAGATGACTGAACGTTACCTTTTATAGACAACTTTCAGATCCTTCCACTCCAAGAAACTGCACATTTTTGGCTTGCGAGCCAACACTAAAGTGATCAGCTCTCTGGTTATTTTCTTTTTGGTTTTGTCTGGGTGGGCAACAAACCATTTTTGAAGTCGCAGTTTTCCTTGACGGCTGAACAGCAACATAAACTGCATCTGTGGAAACAATCAGCCTGAAATGATGATCTTTGGCTTTGGCAGTTTATGTGAACTCAGGGAGTCACAGGAAGGGGTGAACCTTGGGCGTCATTGGAAGGGGTGAACCTTGGGCGTCATTGGAAGGGGTGAACCTTGGGCGTCATTGGAAGGGGTGAACCTTGGGCGTCATTGGAAGGGGTGAACCTTGGGCGTCATTGGAAGGGGTGAACCTTGGGCGTCATTGGAAGGGGTGAACCTTGGGCGTCATTGGAAGGGGTGAACCTTGGGCGTCATTGGAAGGGGTGAACCTTGGGCGTCATTGGAAGGGGTGAACCTTGGGCGTCATTGGAAGGGGTGAACCTTGGGCGTCATTGGAAGGGGTGAACCTTGGGCGTCATTGGAAGGGGTGAACTGTTGGAGTCAGAGTCAGGAAGTGGTGAACTCAAGAAGTCACTTAGAGTCAGGAAGGGGATGAATTCAGGGTGTCGCTGGAAGAGGTGAACTCTGGGAGTCACTTAGAGTCAGGAAGTGGTGAACTCAGGATGTCACAGAGTCAGGAAGCGGATGAACTATGGGAGTCACTTAGATAGTGGTGAACTCAGGAAGTCAGTCAGGAAGTGCTGAACTCAGGAGGTCACTTAGAGTCAGAAAGGGGATGAACTCAGGAGGTCAATCAGAGTCAGGAAGGGGATAAACTCTGGGTGTCGCTGAAAGGGGTGACTCTGGGATGAGGAGACTGCAATAACCATCAGAACAAAACCCATGGCTAAGTTCACTGAGAAGTAAAAGACAGAAATGATTCTGCCACCTAGTGAGACTGAACCCTAAGAGGCCGGTAGTGACAAACTGATAACATGAAAATGGAAACACAGAGGGGCAGAGGGACACCTAGAAGATGATGGACTGAAGGATTCACCTGCAGTCAAATACCTCACAACACCACAGCATACCAAGCCCTCCCCGGCTCGGCTACTGATTATAATTTGTTAAACTATGTCCCAAAGCAGATATTGCACAATAAGAAGAAAAGAAACTTTTTTATTTAGGAATATATGTGGTGAGGGCCTCAAATCTCTTCCACAGTGCAACTCTCATACCACTGTTGCAAAACGAGAAGGCATGTATTTAAACCACTAACAGCAGGGATGTGAGATGTAGTTCTTGAGAAGAATGTTGCAAATACCTTGGACTAGCAGAATAACTAACAATGACAACCTGGAAATGGCTAATGAAAGACGAACATTATATACAACAAATGAGAAGGAGATGAGATGTGATGAGAAAAGGAGCACTGGAAAATATCGTGACAACTGGAAAGATCACTGGTAGAAGAGGCAGAGGCATACCAAGAGAAGATGGTGGATGGCTTAAGACAGTGGGCAATGAGGAATATCATCAATGGAACTGATCCAGAACACCAAAGACAGAGATCTGTGATGATGAATAAACGTCTATGCCAGCTGGCAAGGCACTTGATGATGATGATGAACACTAGTATTTGTGGAACATGAAACTGTTAGCCCTCTTTGCCAACCTCTTAGCTATAGAGCTGAATACACCATACTAACTGAGAAAGGTTTTAAGGTTTGAGGTTTTGAACAACTGATCAACATCATGGCACTCGGGTGTAACCCATAAGTGCTCCGTTCTTCTTTTAACTCAAGTTTGAGTCCGAAGAAGCTCAGCACAGTGCACAGGCCCCATAGAACCGGCGAGAATCCTGAAATACTTTGGGTAGATTTTTAACTCAAAATTTTCCCCGGGCAGCGCTGTTAGGCTACTCTTTTCGATTTCCAACTGTGTACAACGCACACGGGCATCTGATCTCACTACCCAGAGACCAGGGGGAATTACTAGAAGTCCCAAGTCCATGTGAAAATATCTGAGCCCTTACCGGGGATTGAGCCCGGAACCTCTAGCATTCGAGGCAAACACCATGCCTAGAGACCACGCAGAAAAAGCTGCAGTAGTAGTGCGTGACACCCAGCTCAACAGTTAGAAAAGCAAACAAGGAAACTGGGCAATCAACATCAAACTTGCACAGTTAGTTCCTAGTTGAACTATGGGGAAGACAGAAGTACCCATGCCAGCCCCCATCAACAGTTAGAAAAGCAAACAAGGAAACTGGGCAATCAACATCAAACTTGCACAGTTAGTTCCTAGTTGAACTATGGGGAAGACAGAAGTACCCATGCCAGCCCCCATCAACAGTTAGAAAAGCAAACAAGGAAACTGGGCAATCAACATCAAACTTGCACAGTTAGTTCCTAGTTGAACTATGGGGAAGACAGAAGTACCCATGCCAGCCCCCATCAACAGTTAGAAAAGCAAACAAGGAAACTGGGCAATCAACATCAAACTTGCACAGTTAGTTCCTAGTTGAACTATGGGGAAGACAGAAGTACCCATGCCAGCCCCCATCAACAGTTAGAAAAGCAAACAAGGAAACTGGGCAATCAACATCAAACTTGCACAGTTAGTTCCTAGTTGAACTATGGGGAAGACAGAAGTACCCATGCCAGCCCCCATCAACAGTTAGAAAAGCAAACAAGGAAACTGGGCAATCAACATCAAACTTGCACAGTTAGTTCCTAGTTGAACTATGGGGAAGACAGAAGTACCCATGCCAGCCCCCATCAACAGTTAGAAAAGCAAACAAGGAAACTGGGCAATCAACATCAAACTTGCACAGTTAGTTCCTAGTTGAACTATGGGGAAGACAGAAGTACCCATGCCAGCCCCCATCAACAGTTAGAAAAGCAAACAAGGAAACTGGGCAATCAACATCAAACTTGCACAGTTAGTTCCTAGTTGAACTATGGGGAAGACAGAAGTACCCATGCCAGCCCCCATCAACAGTTAGAAAAGCAAACAAGGAAACTGGGCAATCAACATCAAACTTGCACAGTTAGTTCCTAGTTGAACTATGGGGAAGACAGAAGTAACCATGCCAGTCCCCATCAGACTGCAGAATGCCCCCATTAATTAATACTGGAACTTTATGTTGCCAGTTGAAACTTTTAAATCAATTTTTACTTACAAAACCAGGAAAGCCATTAAAAATATCTTTTGAGCGACGGCACCTCTCTCATGCCTCCATTACCATTTTAAACGGATATATTAAGGGTTCTGTGTGAATTTCTACAAATATAGTCCAGCAGTAGGTGGCCATGAAGAAAAAATAGCTGGAAAATCCAACCAATTATTCATAATCATAGGATGGCTATCCTCCGAATAACGGGCACAAAAGATGGCAGCTGCAAAAACACCCCAACAGAGCCTCAGTCACATGTCAATTGCACATTTCCGCGACTTAATTTGCGGTTTTCCGGCGATTAACGCCACCGCCAAGAGTATCCCCCAAGCCGCTCACACGGCATGGATTGGGGCTAAACTAGATAGCTGGGACTCACGAGCAGCAGCTTCCGCATCACCTGCAGCTTTGCTTGTGAGTCCCAGCCATCTAGTATACCCCGTGCAGCTACACATGGCTCGGAGGGGGCTAAACTTGATGGCTGGGACTCACAAGCAGCAGCTACCGATCTCCTGCAGCTTCCTCCATTTTATTTGCTAATTTTTTGCCATCTAGTTTAGCCCCCCTCAGCGCCGCACGTAGCGGCATAGGGGATACTCTTAGCGTTGGCGGTAAAGTCGCTGGAAAGAGGTCTGCAATTTACATATCACTGAGGCCCTGTTAGGGTATTTTCGGCTCTCCTTCAACTTCTACCCCATATTATGGCGGCCACACAAATACCCTAACAGGGCCTCAGTCTTGTGTAAAATGCGGACTTCCTCCGACGAACACATCGCGGCAAAACTAGGATTACTTGACAATGTCACGACACGCAACACTGCAGACGATAATAGCGACCATTGACAATTTTGAGTGTTTCACGAGCAGCAGCTACGGATCTGCTGCAGCTTCCTCCATTTTATTTGCTCATTTTTGCCATCTAGTTTAGCCCTTCTCAGCGCTGCGCGTAACAGCGCGGGGGATACTGTTGGCGGTGCGGCATAGTCGCAGAAACAGGTTCGCAATTAACATTTTGCTGAGACCCTGTTAGAGCATCTGTTGCGTTATTCGAGCCGATCCGATCCTGTTAAGGTATTTGTTTGGCCGCCATAATATGGGGTAAAAGTCTGAAGGAGAGCCATATTTTCTTATCCTCGATAATATGGGACCGTTATTCGAAGAACAGTCCAAGTTTCATTGTTTCAAAATTTAGTTTATTGGTTTACAAACAAAAGGCACGTGAATTGATCGATGCTCTATTTGAAAATAAAAGGCGGAAGACGGAAAGTTTAGAGACTGCCTAAATTATTCCAACTTATAACTAAGCACGGTTTCGTATTTATCAGCTTTTTTACAGTCATTTCAGTAATCAGTCACTGACTGACAGTGACTGCAGCCGCATCGTCATGACCATTGATCATACAATGACATCAATCACTGAGAAGAGATTCTGATTCATTCGCTGATTTTTAATTTTAAATTGAAGAGAATTTAATTACCGACAGTCTAAAATCAAAACTAGTTCTCTTACTGAACGTCATCTTACGATACACAGGTCATTAAACGAATATAAACATGGCTTACCATTTTTGGTGGGTAGATGTGTAGAAAAAATAAAAAAGAACTAAGTTTTCCCTTACAACCGACAAGCCATCTTGTGGGACACTGCGCTCTACGTCATCACAATCTGTGTAGCTTGCTCTAGCAGACGAGAACATGACGTCTGAAAGGTGGTTTGGATTTGAAATTTGTCACTCATGTTTTATAATAATTAAAAAAAATATTCATTGTGCTACCAGTGCCAAACATAGACCCTTACAACAACTAATGAGCTGAAGATCGTAACAGCAGAGATTATATGTCTTAGGAGAGCTGCCGATGTGACAGGAATAGATAAAATCAGGAATGAAGAAATCCGAAGAAGACTACACTTCATTGAAAGACTGGAATGATATAGTTTCGTCGCCCAGCTCATGAGTTGAGTGCATGGCGTGACACTGTGAGC